GGTCTTACAATATTTTTGTCACCATGTTAAGCTGTTATTATGTAGCTATATAGATTTGTAGCTGTAATGGATTAAAGACTAATAATTCTTAGTGGCTTCCTGGGTAGGGGACCTCTATATATTCTCCAAATACAATTATTGTCTTCCCTGATGAGAGGGAGTAGTAGTGGAATTCAGAAGGAGAGGAAGTTGTTCTGAGTAAATATTTGCTGTCCCCATCCCACCCACCCCAAGGAATCAGGTACCTGAATCAGCAATTTCATGAAAACCATGAAAGAATGGGAACTAGTGGGAACTCTGCAGTGGGGGCAAGTGATACTGTATGAGCATAGGACATCATCATGCATATGCTGTGACTTACGTACTTGATTCAGATGCCATGATACAAACATAATGGTGACAGATGGGTGGCTTTTGACATAGTTTGTTACAGACTCTATTGCTGGGAATGTTGAGTTGTGCAAAGATTTTTTTAAATAAAATTTAAAAATCAGTGCTGTACAATCTGGGGTGGTTTTATATGTGTTGCAATCCTTCGTTTGCACAAACCTTTGTACAGACTACTGTATACTGGTTTTCAAAGCCAGATCTTAGCATCAGGTAAATTATGGCAAATAAACTGTTTTCTCAAATACTACTTTGTTGCTTTAATTAGTTTTTTCCTTTAAAAAATATTCAAATGTGTAAGCTTATTCCAGGAGATTTCCTAGCCTGCTCCATCCAGATTCCAAACGAGGAGAGCATTTCCCTATTCAAAAATAGGTGGTGGCAGTGGATTTACCTGTGTGGGTGAAACTTTCACCTTGGTAAATAGCCACACCCAGACACTCCAGAACCAGAGGGTTGGTGATCTCAGAGAGGTGTCTGGCAGTTGGATATGGGTGTGGTGATAGACATTTTTCTTACCTTCTTCCCTCCCTTTGAGATCATAGTTCTTTACTTCATCCCTCTCTGCCTCTGTTTCTCTCTCCCCTCTTGTATTTAATTACCTTTGTCCAGACAGAGTAGTCTGTATGTAGCTTTCTATACTAATATCTTGCCCAGCTTCTTGATTTTTATAAAATGAGATAATTCAATGAATTGCTGACTTGTCAAGTCCTTCAAGGCTGTCAAACTCAGGAAACAACCACTTGGATTTTCAGAACGTTCTTTATTGTTAGTAGGGTAACATAACAGGACTCTTGAGGGCTTGCCAAAACAGTTATCCAGATCAACTTATGTCTGACAGACCCTGGAATGTGAAGGAGGGAGCAGGACCATTACAGAAAAGTTTTGTTAGTCAAGGAGAGGGAGATTGAGTTATTCTGAATCTTTCTCATGTTTCCCCCTCTCCTTGAGTAAGGAATCTTTTCTGTAATGGCCCTGTTAGAAATTCCATCCCAAGCCTTCCTGATAGGTTTCCTATGCCACACAGTATGTCTTGTATATGCAGAGCTGGCATGCAAATAACCATGCACATTCGTTTTATTTATGCCTGTGCTTTTCTCATCATTTCCTTTTGAAGATGAGGACCTCTGGTCTTCGGCAGGGTAACTATCAGCAGGGACTACCATTAGCGTCTGTAGTTCAAAGTTATCTGAATACCAAAAAGTATAGAAAAACATGTTAATATTTTCTTTTCAAAAGCCACATTATCATTTTCTGGTCTCACTCATAGTGGAGGAAATGACCCTTAAAGAAAATCTCTCTCTCTTCTTTAGGTTAGAGATGGTTAGGTGGCCATTGTATATGACCAACTCTAGGAGAGAGAAAAATGATGCGTGCAATTAGCAAAGCAGGTGTAATACCTCTCTTATTTTGGAGTATGAAAAACAGTGGCTTAGACACATAAAGCAAATTGATCAATGAAGCAAATCCTTCAAGTTCTACCAAAATGTTTTATCTGTGACAATCCCCCTCCTGATAAAGCCTTCTGGAGTTTATTTAGCAACAACTATAGTTGAAAGCTATTTCCCTGTACTGATGCAGGCCTATTTTATGTGCTGTTAACAGCTGTGAGCAAAACTCCATAGTCTAGTCATAAAATACTCCAATATTCTAATGAAGCATTCCATTTTTTTCCCCAATGAACTGCTGATCTGTCTATTCTGAAGTGGTTTGTTGGCCTCTGTTAATGATACATCTGGAACAGGAAATGGTACCCTCTTTCTCATTCTCTCTCTCTTGCACACACACAAACACACATACACAATCAACCTCTCCCTCATTCAGTCTGTCCTCCATTGCTTTTACCCCAACAGCTGTGATTTGCCAGCTTTCCTTGATGCAGGGCAACCTGCGATTTTTTTTAAAGTCGTTACAGTGGTGCAATGCTGGCAGATGAGCTTCTATCCATAAGCAATCTCTCATACTTTTATTTTAAAAGGTGTACAGCTGTGCCTATGGACAAAGTGGCTTAAATAAGGTATGTACTACATTCCTGCAGCTGGAGGACCATACTTTTATTTATTTATTTTTTTAAAAAAATTGCCCTGAGACATGGCAGGCTTATAGTTGTTAAAGCAATGTTTTGGGAAGGTTGGAAGGGTTAATGGACAAAATGAATGTCTTAAGCCTTGCACTTATTTAAATGATCCATGCACAGCTATTGTGCAAATATGGCTGATAGATTTGTAAGTGACTTGGTTAGGCACATTTTATGAACACAGGCAGTCTAATTCCTTCAATATAGTTGTTGGTTGCTTGTGTCAAATTTGTAATTTTCAAGATCTATAACAAATATGAGTCTTTTTGTTTCTGTTTTATACATGAAAATATCAGTGAATCTATGATGGTATATGATTTTGTATTGCTATCGAGGCTTTGCACATCTTGAGAGCAATAAGATAGCAGAATGGCACACAGAAGGGGTGTTTCATCACTGTGCTCTTTAAAAATACACATTTAACTATGGCCCCGATCTACCCTGAAAAAAAAATACGCAATTTATTTTCCTGGTGGATCAATGCGAGAAATAGAACCAATGTTAAAGTTAAATCATTCATTTCAGATTATGCTCATTCCCAATGCTCGGGTCTGAAGCAAGGGACTCAAACTATATGAATAGTAACATTAAGAAACATTTTTGTCACACTGTGACAAATAATGCTGGGTAAGGTGATAATCCAGCTTAGGTTATCCAGACAAATGGGGGGAGAAAACAGTACATCCAGGATTTGGAGTAATTAGAAAATGAGGGGGAGCTGAAATCCTAGAATAAGATTTGAACTGAAATCAGGAAAATTTCCAGTAAGTAAACATTTAAGCATGGACGTCTGTAAATTGTCCATACTTTTCACACTGAATTTAAAAAAAAAAAAACATTCTGTATAAGCATATTTGGGGTTGGATATGTTATCCCTAAACATTTTTAATATATTTTTAGAGATATCATTAAACAGTATGGCAAGGAAAACTCACCTTGTATTGTTCATTGATTCTGTATGAACAAATTTTGGTATCTACAAGGAAGTAAGCTTATTATAAGAACTGTTGGACAGAATATATGATGTTTGTATTTTAATATACTCCATAAAAGACTCCTGCCAGGTGGTAGGAATATGCTAAAGTTCTATCCCAGAATGTTCAAATCCTACAATGGGCCACTAACATCAGAACAGCCTGTTCTGGATGGTCTAGAAATGGCCTGACCTCAAAATATGCTATTGAGCTTCCAGAATACTTGAAGTGACCCATTTCATGATGAGACACTTGTAGAATATTCAGAACAGCCTATTTTGGAGTTGGAACATTCTGTAATGGAATTTTTGCCAAGCCCTAATGCAATTTTATAATTAAAACTAGGAGAACTCTGGCTATGTATTATCTACATCTGAAAGTGTTTAATTATTCAATCTGTACTTGGTCTTTCATTGGTATGGTGCGAAGCATGAGTGGGCAGGGCCAGAATGAATAATTAGGCTGGGAAAAGAAGACTAAATTTAGTTTAAAATTAAATTAATTAAATACTATTAACAGTCATCTGTTTAATAATGTAACTTTTTTGTCAGATAAAAAAATGCCCATTCAATGGCAAGTTTTAGAAGGGTTCTGTGTGCAACACACAAAACTGAGGCTATGAATTGTGCGCACCCCATTGTAAAATATGCAAATTTGGCAAAATCAGATGCCATGATTGCTTCTGAGGAACTGAGTAATACACTTGTTGGTGACTTGTCCCTGATACTGAGGGGCAATGACAATCCATGAAATTCACCAGTGACATCACAATATCACAATATTCTGGCTAAATTGCATTCAGGTAGCTAAGAGAAAACAGAAGTGCGCTCAAGTTCCCAGAAGGCTTCCCTCTGACTAAACTACAATGGCTGTATTCATACATCATGTTAAGTCCTAATTGCTGGTCTACAAACAAGCCACATTGTAGTATAATATGATACATGAATCCAACAAAATCTGACTGAGAACTGATTTCACTTTCTCTCTCTCTCTCTCTCTCTCTCTCTCTCTCTCTCTCTGTGTCTCTGTCTCTGTCTCTGTCTCTGTCTCTGTCTCTGTCTCTGTCTCTTTTTTGGAGTAGCCATTATAGTGATATTTTCAAGTTTCAGGCCTCAGATATTCTCCTGCAGTTTATATGACTATCATTATAACATGTTTTATAGGGCTATGGCCCAGAATCTGCTTTATGTACCAGGATTTTGCCTCCAAATTTAAAGAATAGAAAGCTAAGTCTTTGCCCAGAAATATCTGTGGGAGCATTTTTTTTACTGCTGGTCTTAGCTCAAATGGCCATATTGTGATACACACACACACCAACACACACATATATCCCACCCTATTCTGTTTGACACAGAAAGTATAAATAGATGCAAGCAAGGTCATTTACAGAGCTGAAGTGGTAAATGCAACATCCTATAAAGTTTATTAAAATGTACTATTAAATTTTACAAATATATTCAGAAAGTAAATTCTAGATTCCTCATTGGCTTGGACTATGTTTCTTTGGCCATATAACAACTTGTAATTCCCAAGCAAGTAATGCCAACTTTTATCAAAACTAAATACCTTCAGGGCTACTTTAGAAGGCACTATATTCGAGAGGCATTGTTTTTAAACTGGGAGAAGACA